AGCTTTGCACCCTGGCTTTCGCCAGCACCAACATTTATCTGCATCATTTGACATTTCTCATGAAGGCCATTTTTGGTGACTACATAAATATTGATATGCCCTAATTTACTTAATTATTCCCCCACCAATCCTGACATTTAGGTTTCTTCCTTTTTAAAAACATATTCTACACAGTGCAGTAATGAACATGTTTGTGCTTAGGCTTTATTACTTGTTCAGGGTACATCCCCAAAGGTGAGATTTCTAGACCAGCGTTAAGCAACTGTCAGGCCCTTCACGCACCCTTAGAGACCTAGTATCTAGTTCGAATCTGTCATCAAATTGCTGTGTGGCCCCAAGCAAATCACCTCTCTGGGCTACCGACCCTGCATTTGGAAGGAATGAACAGAGTACCACAAGGAATACTAAGAAAGCCCGGGCAGTAGAAGGACTCCAACCTCTAGGTGCTACACTAACGGCCCCATCAGAAGCGCGGACCGCCTCATGCTCCGCACACACCCTCCTCAGCGTTTGGTCTCTCAGGTCGCCCTCCTGCTGATTTAGCATGGCCTTGGCCCGGAAGGCTGTACTTTGCTCCAGGTGGAAAGGATTAGCTCCGAAGGCCTCCAACGCAGGGAAGAGGTCACAGGTGAGAGCCTGGAAACACCAGAAGGACTGCCTGCCCGCTCTATCCTGCGCCCTAAGGGAATAGGTCCCACTTCCACCTTCTGAAAAGGCAAAGGGTCCACAGCATCACCGCACAGCTCACCAGCCAGGGGCAATCGCCAGACTTAAGGTGGCCAGGCAGATTCCTTCTCCCAAAAGCGTGGAGTTGGAATCCGAGACACTGGGGGGCGTGGGGTCGGCACCATGGCTCACCCAGGTGCTGGCAGAACAAAGATGGTGACAATAAGCCCAGGACCTGACTCTGCAGGGAGGAACGGCCCATAAGGTGAGTGTTTGGAACTAGAACCATCCTTACATCTCAGGCGCTATCACAGCCAGTGGACCTCATTTTCCATCTTGGGGTGTCCAGGAGCCTACTGGTCACGTCCCTGCAATGCCACCGCCCACCTCTACTACCACAGCCCTTGAGATTTCTGTTTCTGCAATAAAATGTGCTTGGATAAACAAACTGAAGACTTAACAGAAATGTCTGTCAGGGCAATAGGTTTGGGGAAAGGAGTAGGCAAATGTTTAGGGGGGCAAACAGCACTGCTGAGGATTGAACTCAGAGCCTTGAGCACGCTAGGCAAGTGTTCCACCACTGAGCTATGCCCACAGCTCTGCTTATCTGATCTGGATAAAGGGTCCTAATAGGTTGCCCAGGCTGGACTTAAACATGCCCGATTCAGCTTCCTGAGTAGCTTAGATTACAAGGCATCCCCAGCATGCCTAGCTAGCAAATACATTTTTAACCACTCACTCCTATAACCACCTCCAAACTGAAAAACTTAATAAGCCCAAAACCTGGAGGCAAAATAAGGTTTGTCCTGTCATTTTCTGCAGACAGTGCCCTGGAAAGTCAGCCTAAACCGGAGGACTGCAGGCTGCACTGGCCTCAGACGAGAGCCCACGTCCTGCGCTGACACGGGCAGGGACGCGCTGCCTGAGACACTTCCCCAGAGGCTGCCTGAGGGGCACACTTTACTTACAGAGGAGGTTAGAACCTGCCAAGAGGCCAGGTGCAGCACATGCCCAGCATGGGAGAGGCCCTGGGTTCAGGCTCCCTGCCCCAAAATAAAAAGATAGAAAGGTCAAGAGGAGAATTAAAGAAGTCATCACCGGGCTGGTGAGATGGCTCAGTGGTCTAAAGCACCTATTTAGAACAAGCTTAGCAAAGCACAAGGACCGCAGTTCAATCCCCCAGCACCACATGCCAGCCAGCCCTGCCCCCAGGTGGGCTGAGCTGGCCACACACAAAAAATAAATAAATAAATAGAAGTCATCACCCTTCACCCTGGACTGGCTGTGTCCCTGCATGAGGAACATCTGCTTCCAAGACTGAGCCCTGGAAGGAAGGGCAGTGAGGAGCAGGGCAAGCTCTGGCTCAGGAGCCAGGGAATACACCCCAAGGGCCCCGATGGGCGTTTCTGCTCCCCTGCCCCTCGTGGCTCCCGCCCTGGAAGTGCCAAGAGCCAGTGTCACACAGCCTCTTCTCCACTCCAGGGAGTCCTCGCTCCTTCAAGGCACGGGTTAGACAGAAGTCAGAAAGTACTTCATCCTGACCCCAAGGAGATTGCTTCACTGTCCCACACCGTCTAACCACAGCAAAACTAGGAGACACTGCCTGCCTCACTGATCAAAGGTGTTAGGCTAGACAGGGAGGACTGGTGCACCAAGTCCCCTGAGGGCTGGTCACTACCCCTGGGACAGCACGGACACTCAGTGTGGGCCACCTGAGGCTGGGGGCCTCCATTTAGCCTGCTGAGACCCAACAATAAGAAAAGCAGGCTCTGAGAAGTTCAATTCCTAAGACTTTCAGAAATTCCGGCTCCATGACCTCCTGCTCTCCAGGCCACTTCTGCACTCTCCTGGGGATCCCGTTCACTGGCCACAAGCCAGCCACTCACTGCCACTGCTCTCAGAAGGGGAGCCAGGGCAAGCAGGCTGCCAGTGGCCCCAGTGCAAGGTAGAATTTTGACCTAGAGAAAGAGATACTTGCAGAGTTGTTGTCACCAGCAGGAGGTCATTAGGAGAGATGTAGACCCCCTTCCTACAGTGAAGATGGGTAGAAAACTTCCCAGAGGGCTGGCAGGTGCTAGATTCTGATTCACCTGGGAGACCTCAGACATTTTATTTTTATTTTTGGGTTTTTTCAGACATTTTAAAATCAATGGGGCCGGGGAGATGGCTCAGTAGAATAAGTGCTTGCCTGGCAAGTGCAAGGGTCTGAGTTCAATCCCTGGTTCCGCAAAAAAAATTAAAAAATAAAAAAAAAATAAAATCAATGAGGAAAAGTCAAAGCAGCTACCCACAGACTAGTGCCAACTGTCAATGTTGGATGGGCTCTGAACCCTGATGGGGCAGGACAAGATCAGCCTGTCCTGGGGGGAAGGGACTCAGGCAGGCAATGGCAGAGAGGAGGCCAAAAGTGTGCAGGGCTAGGAGTGCTAGGGAGGGAAAAGATAGAATGAAACTAAGAGAAAAGAAGTTCAGAAAGATGTCCACAGGGGCCAGGGAGATGGCTCAGTAGAATAAGCGCTTCCCTGGCAAGTGCAAGGGCCTGAGTTCAATCCCCAGTTCTGCGAAAGAAAGAAAGAAAGAAAGAAAGAAAGAAAGAAAGAAAGAAAGAAAGAAAGAAGTCTGCAGAACGGCAGAGCTGTGGTAACGTTTAATAAAGCCAGCTGAGAGAAAGACAGGAGAGGGAAAACAGGGGATTCTGGGAACAAGTTAGCACAGGGCCAGATGCTCAGAAAGCCCTGTGCCTTTGGCAATCAATAATAATAATAATAATAATAATAATAATAATAGTAATAATAAGGCACCTACTGTGCCTGAAACTGAATGAAAGAGCCATCTTGCTAGCTACAAAACTGGAGACCTAGGGTCACAAAGGCCAGTGAAAGGATCATCACTCATGGCCACTAAAGAGCACCCCAGGTCAAAGGAAGGAAAAGCCAGGAAGTGACCAGAGAGGCCATTTGAACAGACAGGAAATTAGAGTTGGGCTGAGAATACAAAAGCTTGCGCACAAGATCAACAACAAATTCTCAATCCCTGGTACCACATGCCGCGCCAGCCCCGCCCCCAGGTATGCTAAGCTGGTCACTGAGTCCCGGTGTATCGGCGCACTCCTATAATCCCAGTGCTGGGGAGGTTAAAACAGGGGGATCACTACGCATCCGAGCTGTATAGGGAGGCCCTGTACCAAATACATTAAAAAAAAAATTCTGGAGCTTCCTGGAGACCAGTGGGCTTTAGTGAGAGGCCTGAAAACCATGGCAGAGGTAGGAAGGCCCCACTGTGCTTAGTTCAGAGAGAGGAGACCAAGCACCGCACTCAGGAGCCCCAAGCCAGGCCTTAGCACCTGCGCAGGGCAGGCTGGTGGTCCCATCCTCCCCACTGCTCTGCTTGCGCCTCTCTCTCTACCCAGGGAAGCAGTGGCAGCCCTCACATCTCACAGTGCCTTGCTGCACAAGAAGGTCTCAGTCAATAGTTCTACAGTCGTGAATAACAATAATTAAAATCTCCCAACTCAAAATTCAAAAATCTAACAGCCCCCCCAAAAAAATAATTAACATGAATATGTGTTTGTGCTAAGTAGTTATTGAAAGCAAAGTTGAGAAAAACTGGGGTTACTTGAAAGTAGATATAGGATTCAAAGTTACGAATTTTCTACTATGATGGTGTGTGCAGTAATGGAACCGGTTTCCTGGGAAGTGGTAAATTTTCCATCATGAGGGCCACATGTTAAGGACATGCAGAAGAGATTCCTTAGTAAGTCTCAAAGGTCTTGTCCAACTCAAGATCGCCTAAAATAAATTTTACAGTAGAACAATCTGAGATATATCTGGAAAATCACAAGGCAGCAGAATTAGCAACCAGACTTTATAGTTAAAAGAAGTACACTTAAGGCAAATGAAAATGTACATTTACAGACTGTTTAATATGCTCCACATTACCCTAAAAGCTAGAAAGAGCTGAAACTACTAAGAAGCTCAAAAAGGGCCTAATTGAATGAATGAACAAATGAATGAACGAATGGTCAGCACAGGGAAGGTTACCAAACGCAGTGAGAGATGCGTGCGAACGGCCCCTAAGAGGCTGATGGCACGGTTGGCACCTGTGCCTCACCCCCAGGGTCAACCTGCCTTTCCCAGTCCAGAGCTCGCAGGACTGAATGGGCTGGGATTCTTCCCGTGCTGTCCCTGGAGAAGTGTCCCACAGCCTTCCCACAGAAACGCCCAGCTAGTAATGCCCGGAACCGGTCCAGCCCAATAGGGCGTGTGGGGCCAGGGCCCCAGCGACCAAGCCCTGCCCCTCCCACGGGTAGAGGCAAGATCACGAGCACCACTCACAGTCTGGACAGAGCCTGGTTGTTCTGGAACAGCAGTTCTGGCAACATGTGCAGCTGGTTCCGGTTCAGTCGGCTGAAAAAGAGAAGGAAGGAAATCACCTACCCGCTCAGGAAATCACAATGACTTCTCAGAAGCACCAAATGCAGTCACTGGGGCCACTCAAGTCCCAGCAGGGTCAGCACGTAATCACAGGGCAATTACCTCCCCTGGGCCACAGTTTCATCTGTAAAGTGCAAATTCAACCATCCAGCATTTGAAGGACAAGGACAAAACATCTGTGACAGAATATCCCTGTGTGTTCCAGTCCCACCCCCTTCACAGCCCTGAATACCACAGGCAGCAACCTTGCCCATCTGCTGTGAACACCGTCTCTGCCTGACAGCTGGATCCCTGGAGTGCGAGGAGCCCAGCTGCGAGGGAACAGCCAAGCATCTGACTTCTGAGCACCTCCATCTGCAGGTGGCTAGGCGGTGGCTTAGGGTTTCTATCACTTCCTTTAGGTCTTTTTTTCAAAATGAAAATCATTTGATTTATTGTGTTATTATCAATGAAAGTACAGCCTTTAAAAAAAAGCACCTTCAAATAATAGCAGACAGGGAACCCACCTGTGACAAAGCTGAACAAAAAAAGGGGACACACATGAAGGACCATTTTGTATCTGTATATACAAAACAGTTAGGCTAGATTATAGCTACTTTCTCTTAATTCATTGAGAAGAAAGATTTGTACTAATAGTGTTTGTGGACAGGACATCATGTCTGCATCTTGTACAATGAATAACCACTACGAAGACAACAACATGCAATGTATTAATTATTGAAACTGTCCTACTAATCGGTGTTGAAACTGTCTCATTGCTATTTGTTTCTCAGCAAAATTAATTTTTAAATAAGGTGCTCACCTGTATTTGGGGGAGTAAAGTATTGAACTCAGGCAGACACTGTACTGCTGAGCTATACCCCCAGCTCCTCACCTGTATTTTTCTAACTCAACTGTGCCTTTAAAGACCAAAAAATTGGGATTTAGGGTTTTTTTCTTTTTTTGGGGGGGTGGATTGCTGGTGATGGGAGGATCTCCTCCATTGCAGGCAAGTACTCCCTCCAGCTTGGAGCCACATCCTGGTCCTCCCTTCTAATGGCTTAGTAGTAGTGTTGAGAGGTCTGAGAAGGTCAGACAGAGAATTTTTCAGCATTATAACCACAGACAGGAGGGGTAAGGTGGCTCTGGGGACAGCCTGACAAGAAGACATAACACAGAAGGCCCCAGATTTGTTCTGGGAAAATGGCCAAGTTTAGCCAGACCCAACTCTCCCACCTGAGTAACTAATTCTTTGGCCCCTGACTTTAGGGTAAAACAAAAGATACTATCTAAATTTTTAAAAACTATAGTAGACAACATTAAAAGTTACTAAGTATTATTCAGCCTCTACTACACAGCAGCTCAGCCTGTCAAGAGATCTGGCAAAGTACAGAAATTACGGAACCTTGGTCTGTGGATGGCCAGCAGGCGACCACCCGAGGGAGGGGTGGCAGAAGTGGCACTGCCTCCGACACCAGCCAACCCGGGGACTGACATGCACGCTGAGCCTGGAGAGGCACTAATGTACCACGCAGCCACAGCCACAGGTCCACAGCATGGTCTGAGTTACACACTAAGACCGCTGTGAGCACTCACTTAACACACTACGATAAACCAGCTCAGCAAAAATGTTCTCCTGGAGGGAGAGAGGAAGACACTTAATTGTATGGAGCCAGCAATGTCCCGCCTGTGGCTACCTCTGTGAAGGTCATCTTTCTCCTGATAAGTGAAAACTGACATTGCCACCACATTAGGGACTGTCATGGTCCAATACAGTTCAGACAAGCACACCCACAACTTTAGAGAACCAGCTGAAGACTTTAAAGGGCAGGTTCCAGTGAAGTGCGTGGTTACCCTGGGGCAGGGCTAGGGAGGATCACAAATACAATCCTAAAACAACTGGAATAGGCACAAGCCCACTCCATGTTCCTTAGCCCCAGTCCAATAAATTAATCTTGTATTTACAGCGTCTGATAACCACTGCCTTTTGTTTTCTCCTAAGACTGTCTTGTTTTTCGGGCTTCCATTGTTGAAAAACGTTTAGAGGCATTATGGTTTGTGTCCAGATTCCCCGCCCAAGCCTCATGCAGTCATGGCCGAGCTTCTAGAGGTTTTGATTCATGGCCCAATGCTGGATTATGGTGTGAGTGCCACCCGCCCTGGGAGGTCACCTGCATACAGAGTAGGGGAGGGAAGGAGGTCTGTCGGCTGCTGCTCGGCCTTTCGCTCTTGCTGTTTTGCTGTTTTCACCATGAACTTCCGCCCACTGCCATGTGCCACTCTGCCTTGGAGCCAGCCAAGTATGGACTGAAACCTCCACAAACTGTGAGCCAAGTAAACCCTTCCTTCCTTAATTCTGGGCTTCACGTATTTTGTCTCAGCAATGAGAGAAAAGTAACCAAGGCAGAGGGGAAAAGAATTCAACGCCTAGTCTAAAGTGAAGGGAGCCTGCACAGTGGGGACATGCAGGTGACTCCAGGAGTGAGCGCCCCAGGATTAGCCTTCACCACACGCCAGCCACTAGCACAAGGGCTCTGCAGACGTTCCTCATCACCCAGTGGGAAAGCAGAGAGAGAAGATGCGCTTCCTTCCCATGGATCTCTGTCAGCAACGCCCTCCATCCACGCACACCCCCGCCCTCAGGGAAGGGTTTGCTGGCACCGTCTTGCCTCGTAGAGGGCTTTTCATCAGTGCCCACTGTTCATTGGTTGGTGCTGTTGGGTTGTCTGTCTTGGATAGGTGAGGGAACTGGGATGCTAAGAGGCGACTGTCTCACGCAGGTCATCGCTGGACAGCAGCTACGGGAGTCCAGGGCTCCCCCTCGGCAGCCGCCTGGCCCACAGCGAGGCTGATCCTGCTCCCTGCTGTCCCAGCGCAGCCAGCAGGTGCCCTGCACAGCAGTCCTCCCCAGCAGCAGCCTCACTCCTCCGCCTCCACGCCTGGGCTTCCCACCTGCCGCCAGAACCGGCTATGTGTCTCCTCAAACTTGTTTATCCTATTCATAACTCTTCATAATTAGATATTCATTATTATTCATAATTATAATTAAATTTGATTAATTTGATTCATAAGTGAATTAAATAATAGTGAGAAAAGAAAGGCTTGTCTCTATGAAATCTGAATACTTTGGAAAGATCCAGTAAGAAGGAAACCTAACATAAGTCTTCACCCAGATGGCCTCCAAGGACCTTTAAAATTTTTTCATTCTACCTTCAAGAAATCAAAACAAAAAACCATAAAGATATATTCATGAAGCTGGCCATGGTGGTGCACACACGTGATTCCTGGTCTCTGGGAGGCTGAGGAAGGAGGATTGCATGTTCAGGCCCAGTCTCAGCCACATAGCAAGACCCTGCCTCGAAACCAAAAACTGAAAAAGGTTGGGGATATAGCTCAGTGCTACATCAAACACCCGACCCCTGCTTCTGCCTAAGCAGTGCTTTAATCTGCTGAGCTATCTGGCCAGACCAACATTGCCACGTTTTAGCTGAAAATGAAATGTTTGTAGTATGTATGGCCTTTTTAGGACCCCTGCCTTCAGTCACGCATTCTGATCAACTGATCAGCACTGGTGTCTGATGAGTTCAGAGAGGGCAGCCACTGAATCAACCACTCACAGAGCCATGGGTGGCACCAGGGGACAATAACTGTCCACTGAGAAATTTCTGGTGACCCACCCAGAAGGAAGGAACTGGAAAAGGACAGAGGGGCAAAATCTGCAGTGACAAGTCAGGACTCAAAACAAGACCCTGGCAAACCTGATATGGCAGGAGCAGGTACAATGGGGTCACCCAGTGGGGCGTGTCTGGGCTCCCACTCTCTGCCAAGCTCTGCTCCAGGGCATGGCTGCACCAGAGTCAGAACTGAAACGGCCCAAATCAGTCCTTCACAGTCAGGTCATTAACATGCATTTTGTTCTAAACCTTTTAAAGAAAGCAAACACAGGTTTGAACATCTGGCCAAGCTTGAGCTCCTTATCACGGAATTCCAGGCCTACGTGAGGAATACAAAGGAAAGGTTGCCTCACTTTTCTTCCAGCCTGCAAGAGGACAATAAGACAAACTGTATTTCTTTCCCTTTGGTTAGTACTTTTATTTTCTTAGATGTAAAAGTGAAAGATGGAGGGGTGAGGTCCTGCTCACTAAGAACTCAGGCTTTGAAGGTGGGACGACCCGGTTCTAGTCCCCTGTACAGGACCATTATGAGCAGGCGGCTTACCCCATGTGTGCCTCTGTGCCTCCTCTCTAAGGCCACTTGCAGCAGTGCTGTGTTAGGGACACGTGAACTACCACACAGCAAAGCACTAACCCGGGCCCCCAGCACACCGTAATGCGCTCAGTAGGCGCAGTTACTGGCAGGAAGGTGTTGCAGGAATAAGAGGCAACTTACCTGGTTTCTCACCACACGATCTCAGGCTCATGGAGAGCTAATCCTCCTATATTCTGCTCACAAACTGTTTTATTTACACAAACATCACATCTTGCCTTTTCTTTTTGGCAGAACCGGGGACTGAACTCAGATCCTTGCGTTTACCAGTCAAGTGCTTATCCTACTGAGCCATCTCCCTGGCCCCAACATCTTGCCTTTTCCACTTAACATTATCTTGTAAGCACATTTGCATGGTCTTAATTATTCTTCAAAAGCTCAATTTTACATTCTGTCTCCACCATAATGGCTGATTCCAAATTTTTATATCTAAACAATGTGCAATGGGGCTGGGGAGATGGCTCAGTAGAATAAGTGCTTCCCTGGAAAGCCCAAGGGCCTGAGTTCAATCCCCGGTTTAAAAAAAAAAAAAAAAAGATGAAGCTGTTGGAGTAATAAAATATGGAAAGGCTTGACCAAAAAAGAAAAAATTAAGAAAGAAAATGACCTTAAATAATGTGCAATGAATATTCTGATATATATGAAATTTAAGCCATGCCTCTGCTATTTCTTTCAAATAAAATGGACTTTCTGGTTCAAAGAACATAAGCACTGGTACGTATGACACCTACAGCCAAACATTTGGCAGAAAGGGCCAACCAATGACCTGCATGAATGTGAGAACCCACCCCTATCCTGTCCTACATTTTTTTTTTTTTTTTTTTTTTTTTTGCTGTTGCCCCTCTAAAATACAAAAATTAATCAGGACCCATTTTCAAATTTCAAAGCCCTAGTAAGAAACAAACTATGCAAAGCAAAACATACCACTTCCTTCCCATTTCTACGCTGTAGCCCTGGGCACCTGCGACACTGATGCGCCGGCGGCCCCTGGGACTTCTTAGGAGTCCTCTCCACCCACCAGCCGCATCCTTTAGAAACATAAGTCTGGCTGGGGTGACAGCACTGACAGACCACTTGATTAGCTTGCTCCAGCTCTGTCTTTGATTCCCTGTACTGCCAAACAAAGAAACAAAAAAACCAAATAAACAGTGACAACAAAACAGAAGAATCAAAGAATAGTGGTTCTGCCCCTGGGCGAGATCAGACAGAACTCCACTTGCCTGGGTTTTTGCCATCTCGTGTTTTCCAGGGACGAGCGACAGAGAGTTACAGTGCGAAGGGTGGGGGTGCGCGCTCCAGCTTTCTCTCTGCCTCCTTCTCACCACCTGCAACTACTTCCGAGAGTGCAGCTGTTCCTGGCTCTACCAGCAAGCGGGGGGCAGGCTGGGCTGGGTCCCCGCCCTGAGCACCTGCCAAGTCCCTCCCAGCGCCAGGCAGCCCCAGCATGCTGAGGCTGCGCCCACCGATACTCACAGCCGCTCCAGCTCCTTCATGTCATCAAAAGCCCCTCGCTCCACAGCTCCAATCTGGTTTTCCATCAGCTGCCTGAGAGCAGACAGAAGACAGTGCAGTGTCAGACGAGGACTCCTGGAAACAGCTGGCACAGGGGAGGGGCCAAGGCAACTCTGCCAGGGCAACACTGGCACAGACTGAAACCGGAGTTCTGCTCAGGCCCCCGTCCAAGGCTACACGGACATATTTCTGCACAGCTTTGCAACTCCCCCAACACAAGCCCCTCGCATGCGCGCCCTCCTCTGGCCAAGGGCATGGGCCCCAGGGACAGAGCACAGGCCCATCCAGTACAGAGGAAGCGAAGCTCTGCCCGCCAGGCATAGGCCACACAGGCAGCCAGCCTACTCTGCAGTTGGCAGAGGATGCCCCTCTGCCTGCCCATCTGCTGAAGAAAAGAGTGGGGTGCCTTGCCAGCCCGGTGGTGGCGCCACACGCCACTGCCTCTCCTCACTGCCAGCGGGCTGTGGAGCCAGAGTGATCAGCTCAGGGCAGCGCTGGTCGCCAGCAGGTGGATTGTTAGGCGATAATTTTTGAGATACCAATGCTTTCCACTCCCTACTCTTCACCAGTGACATATGGGCTCCTGTGTGGTCCTTAGACAAGATAGAGGAAAGGGATAGATGCTGTCACCAGACTTTTCTTTTTTTAATATTTGGTACAGAGCCTCTATACGCAGCTTGGACTCAGTGATCCTCCTGTTTTCAGCCTCCCCAGTGCTAGAATGATAGGTGTGTTCCACCACACCTTGTCTCAGTGGCTGGCTCAGTGAGCCTGGGAGGGCAGGGCCAGCATGGCATGCGGTGCCGGGGATCGAACCCCAGTCCTTGCACTTGCCTAAACAGGCGTTCAGTCTGCTGAGCTATCTCACCGGCCCAACTTTCTCTACAGAAGGTTCGGGGTGAGGGGCAACTTCGGAGAAGAGGGTTCTAGATCCAAAAAGGGTCCAAAGTCAGTGGCTTCTAGAACAAGAGAGGCTCTGTCCAGTGGCCTGTCATCCTTGACTCAAAGAGGACAGGCCCAAGGCCCGCAGCTCCCCTCAGAACGTTTGGAGAGAGGGCCTCTCAGGAGTCAGAAGGGTGGGTCTGAAAGGATTCATAACCTCATGAGCAGAGCAAGAGATCTGGGGCCTCTCTGTGTGGGGGGTGGGGGAGGCTCTGTGAGGACACCATGTGACCTGCAAGCCAGGACAAGGTGCCTCCCCACACCTGCCATCACCCTGGTGTGGGACTCCAGTCCTCAGAACTGTATAGGCCTCCAGTCCACGCACTCACCACAGCAGCTACAGCTAGCTAACAATGTGGGGGCCTAGAGAGCCTTCCCGCCTCATGCCAGGATGCAGCCAACACAGAGCGTCCACCTACCAGCAGGCCCTCTGCCATCTGGGTAGCAGTAGCTGCTGTAGTCTGGATGCAGTGTCACCTACGATCTCCTCCCCTCCGGGGTGCCAAGGCTCCGCAGTGGAGGGACTGGGTCCCCCAGGGATCTGCCTGGGGCCCTGAAGCTAGAGCCAGGAGCCAGAGTAGAGGGAAGGTCCACACGGGGAGGGGGAGCACCCGTACTCACAGCACCCGAAGCTGCTTGAGCCCAGCAAAGTCGTTCTTATGGATCCGAGTGATGTTGTTGCCATTGAGTTCCCTGGCAGAGAAAAGAGGCAAAGCGGTGAGGGACAAGGCAGGGTCCAGGCCAGGCGCTCAGCTCCAGGCTTCCTCTCCACCTGGCTCCACCCGGTCACCTCACCCCCTGCTAGGGGCCACCAGCTCAGACCCCCAAGTCTGTGTCAAGGTCCAGCACACCTCTTTGCAAGAGGCATCTATCTACAAGCTCCTTAGGAATGACAAAGCAGGGCTCATTGCTGAAAGCGCCGTAGAAACCAAAATCACAGTTTCTGCCCTGTAGTTCTCATCGCTTGGAGAGACGTGGCGACCCTGACCCGGGGAAGGATGAAGAGGGGCACCAGTGGCGACGCGGCTGTTCAGATGGCAGCCTCTCTAATCCTCCATTTCCTCCGCTGTCAAACAGGATCCTGATTACGTCCACCTCATGGGATCCACACAAGCATAAGCAGGTAGCGAGTAGGGGTGCACTGGCAGAGGGCCCCTTGGGACCGCTACCGTGTCATCGTCCACTGGCACTGGCTCCGGTGAGTGGTCCATCCTCTAAGCAGAAGGCAGGGAAGCCTCCCCAGGAGGGCCCAGGCAAGCCATGGTCGAGGCCAGGGATGGCAAACCTCTTAGAGACTGAAAGTACCAGGACTGCCATCATACCTGAGTACTGAGGCTTTATTTTAGAGAAAACAATAGTAAGCAGATGCTTGGCTGCTGGGGTGACCTGGCCTGCGGGGGGCCTGCGGAGCCCGGCGTGCCTGTGGGGGGCCTGCGGAGCCCGGCGTGCCTGCGTGGGGGGCCTGCGGAGCCCGGCGTGCCTGCGTGGGGGGCCTGCAGAGCTCGGCGTGCCTGTGGGGGCACGCGCACCATGGGCTCACCACCACTGGTTGGACGGTCTAGAGGAGTGATGGCGAACCTCTAGAACTTTCAGTGATAACAAATGGCTGTCTGTGGCTCAAGTGCCTTGGGTTGCCCACAGGCCTCGAGCTGCCTCCAGCACCACCCGATACTTACGTCCACACCCAAGATATGCAAGACTGGCAGGTAGCCGCTGTGCCCGCTTTAAAGCAAGGGCAGCTCTAAGACACCAGTTTCCTCAGTCCCGAAGCTGGCAGATGACAGAATCCACAGCCTGGGCTGTAGGAATGTAGGGCCCAGAACTTCAGGCCAAGTGGACAAAGCCAATAATTAGTTCAACTCATTCCCTCTGCTCGGCTCCTGGCAGGAGCAGCTGAAAAGTCTCATTCTGTTCCTCGTCTCCTTTCTGCAAGGATACGAAGAGAGTACAATGCCTCACCCGGACCAAGCCACTCCCCTGTCCTAAGTGCTATGAGGACCCCTTCTCCATAGGACTCCGGCTCTTTTCAATGGAAAAGTTTTGTTTTGTTTTGTTTTTTTAAGGGGGCGTGTTTTTTATTCTTTGCTGTTGTTTTATTTTTTGTATTGGGGATTGAGCCCAGGGACTTTGCACTGAACTACATCTCAGCCCTTTATTGTTCTTGTTGTTTGAGTTTAGTTTGTTTTAAAAAAAACAAAAACAAAAACAAAAAATCCAGAGCATCATAACGCCCCTAAGATGACTGGGTTGAGCTCAGACTTGTGGTCCTCCTGCCTGAGTCTCCCAAGAGCGCAGTGCCCACCTCCACGACCCACAGAAAAGGCTTTTTTGTTTGTTTTTGAGACCACACCTCCTTACGTAGCCCAGAGTAGCCTCCAACTTGTGACAATGCTCCTGCCTCAGTCCCAGCAGGGCTGGGACTACAGCACATGCCACCATGCCTGGTTAAAAATTCCTTTCTTATTGAACTAAATCTTATTCCCTGCAAGCGCCACAACGTGTTCCTTCCACAGCCCGCACATTCTTCAAGCATCAGAAGCATCATGCCAACCCCTTTACGTGGTTCCCATCCAAGCAGGGCAGGCTTTCTTTAGGCCTCCTTCCGAAACTGTCATCCCCAAACCCAAAACTGCAAGGCATTTTTTTTGGTGTTGTTTGTTTGTCTTGTATTTTAAGGAAGGGTCTACAGGGTGTTCAGGGTCTCACTACTAGGTTGGACTCATAGTGATCTGCCCGTTTACAGCCTCCCAAGAGCTGGGATTACAGGTGCACGCCACCACGCCCAGTCTCAATTGCCATCTCAGCGTGCCCCAGGGGCAGGGCCAGCACTGCAAGCCTGGGTACCAAACTCCCTGACCCTGCGCCTGCTTGCCGGTGCTTTAATCCACTGAGCTATTTGGCCATCCCTTGCAAGGCATGGGGAGATAGTTCTGTGGTCTAAGTGCCTGCCTGGCAAGCACAAGGACCTGGGTTCAATCCCCAGTACTGCATGCTCTTTCAGCCTCTAAACTGGGCAAAGGGGCCGGGGAGATGGCTCAGTGGAATAAGTGCTTCCCTGGCAAGCACAAAGGCCTGAGTTCAATCCCCCGTTCCGCAAAAAATAAATAAATAAATAAATAAATAATAAACTGGGCATGGTAGCACACACCTGTAATCCCAGTGCTGGGGAAGCTAACACAGAAGGATCATTCTGAGTCTGAGCTACATAGTGAGACCCTGTGCCAAATAAATACACAAGATTTTTTTTAAAAAGAAAAGGATACAGCTCTGTTTGTGTTGACAATGAAAGCCATCCATGCCAGCAAGCGGCCTGGGGTTCCAGCGCAACCTGTACTCTAGAGCCCCCTTCTGCTGTGCATGGACACAGCAGAACAAGTATGAGCACCTGGCACGCTGAGGCCACCGGCCACCTGATAAGTAGTGAGATGTGAGAGGACTTTAGCTTCTTCTTGTGCTTTTCTGTATTGTAATTTTAAAAGTCATCTATGTTTACAGGCTATAAACATAGCTCTAAGTTACAATATCCAAGTTATTTCATTTAAAAAAAGAGTAACGTAATGTTGCTTAAGTTACAATATCCAAGTTATTTCATTTAAAAAAAGAGTAATGTATGTTGCTTAATTTTTCCAATTTCCTTAAGAATAAAGGAAAAAGACCATCACTGAGAATAATCTCCACCAATGTGCTGGAAGGCTTTCTCTCAAATCTTCTTTCCTTTGTATAAAAATATACAATTTTTATATAACTGAGCTAGTTCAACATTTTTTTTTAATATATTTGGTACAGGGTCTCACTACAAAGTTCAGACTCGTAGTGATCCTCCTGTGTTCAGCCTCCCCGGGGCTGGGATTACAGGTGTGTGCCACCACGCCCAGTCTCTGTGGCCAGGGCAGCGCGGGGATGGCATGGCATGTGGTGCTGGGGATTGAACTATGTTTCTAGTCCCTGCACTTGCCGAAGCAGGGGCTTCGTCCACTGAGCTATCTCACCAGCTCTCAGTTCAACTATTAGACTAACTGATCCCTGTCCTAACATCCTGAAAGTTAGAGGATGAGTAAAGGCCTGACTATTGCACACTTGCACAGCTTCATACTCGGCTTGCTCGCCTCCGGAGGCTCTGACTAGCTCGAAAGTGTCCCTTCGCTTGGAACAAAGGGGTGTTTGATATCAAGTATCAAGTGCTTGGACTATTCTGTTTCTGAACACTTGCTTTAGTCTGACATTTTTCACTGATAATGCTGCACAGATCTTGGTAGGCACCGAGGAGGAAGACGTCCCAGGAAGGGAACTACTCAGTCAACTGTCATGAGAAATCCCATGAATCTTTTAACCATTTGTTTATTCCTTCTTATCAGCTATGGTTCATAAAGCAATTGACCATGATAAATATTCCCATTTCACAGATGGAAAAATGGGGTCAAGATCAGCTATTAAGACAAGGCCCAAATGAAACCCAGGAATGCTAAGGATGGAGTCACAAAGGAAGGCTGGGGATGGACAAGCTGACAGATCTTCTGGTGGCATATGGCACTGCAGGTCTCTCTCCCACCATCTGGCACCAGCGTATGCTGGGCAGACAGAGGGATGTAGGCCTTCTCCCAGGCCCTGCCCCTGCCCTCACTTCCTACCCATCACTGGGCCTGGACAGGCAGAGAGAAGAAACAGTAAAGAGAGCAGAACAAACATCACCTCCCCTCGGAGGCCCTTCCAGTGGCTTTCCAGGGAGGCAGGCTCCCGGCGGCCTTGCTCCCCACCCAGTGCTAGCTCCCCCTCCTCTCTGGGACGCACTCCCACCCACGGGCAGCCTGCAGCACAGGAGGCACAGCACTGGCACCTAGGATGCATAAATGTCACTTGGGCTGTGACAAAGCCCCCACTGCGGACTCCCCTCCCCTCCTCAGCACATAGTCAGGTACGAGAATGGCCGTGGGGTGCGCTCTAATTCTGAGCCAGGCAGCTCCACCTGGCCCCAGCAAAGGCTTCTGGGATGGGGAGGGTGGTCATCATCCTGCAGTTTGCTTCGTGTCTCCAACAGGTGGTCCTTCCATGTTTCCATGGAGACCTTCCTCCCAGGAAGCTGCCTGGGAAGACTGGGACATGTTGCAGGAACCCCAAGACTATTGTGGCCAGAACAGCAGGTGCAGGTGGGCCCACTGGAGGTTCCTGGCCTCATGACTCCAGGGAGCCCAGGACCCAGGCTACTGTGGTCTCCTTGAGGTTTTTGTCACCAAAGGCCACACCCACCCCTTCTCCTTATTGGGCACCTACTATGTGCGAATCTTAGGCCTAGCTAGAAACACACTTCATCTCTCTGGCCACAACCTAGAGGCAAGTTATGTCCTCTCCAGCCTGTGCATGAGGAAACTGAGGCAGCCTAGGGAGATAACCCGCCCAGCACCACACAGCTAAGAACACAGCCAGCTCTGAGCCCAGACCCGTGTGAGTCCTTGTCGTCCCTATACCACCACACTTGGTGTCGCTGGATTCACATCATCTTGTCCCCAGCATGGTACCTAGGACAGGGCTGAAGACTCACCTGGGTACTCTGGACGAGAAGCCTCCTGGAGCCCTGGAGTAAGAGCACAGGCTCTGCCTAGACACCCACATCAGAGAATGCCCTGTTCCACCATCACGCTGCGTGTGTGGCCTTGGGTGCGGGCCCTAAACTCCTCTGTACCTCAGTTTCCCCATTTGTGGAATGAGGATGATGTTGGTACCCATCTCTTAGACGCATAGTAAGGTTTAATGACTTCCTGTTTCTAAGATGCCAAGAACAATGCCTGGCGCGCCCTTAGCCCTCTCCATAGCAACTTTGCCTGGTTGCCTGAGGTGATTATTTTTGCTACTGCTACTACTATTGGTATTTTTTCATGGCCCACAGCTCCCCAGACTCAGCCCTGGCTGGTGCTGGACTGGCAGGGCCAGGCTGAGCAGGAGAGCAGGTTACTCTTGTCCCAGGATGCAAAAAAAGAGCAGGACAGACACCCTGGATGGTTCTTCTTCCAAAAGTGATGAGTCCACCCCTATCCTTCTCCAAAGGAAAGCGCACGCCGCATGGCAAAGGCCCCATCGCTTGTCAGTTCCTGAACTGAAAGGAAACCCCAGTGACAAAACAATTGGAGAAAATTCTCCAAAGCAAAGTTGCCAGGGTAAAAACAAAACCGCACAAGGATTTCTGGAATACTCTCAGGAGATAAGAATTTTAATTCTCGCTTAAGCAGACATAATCTAAAATAGGACGGATACAGAGAAGACTAGCATGGTCCATGCTTAAGGCTGACACGCAAATTGGTGAAGTGTTCTGTATTTTAAAAAAAGAAATTGATCACCATCGTCTGGGTATCTGTGATATACAGAAAACAACCTCAGACCTGCCAGGGCTGCAGGCACGACGCCCTGAGCTTCCGGGCAGTCCCAGGGGCTCTCTGCACTTCCTTCGTTCTCTTTTCCCATCCTGGAGCTCTGACTGTGAGAGCGAAGCCTCCAGGGCTGGAAGCCCAGTTTCTTAGCTCTGTCCTTTGAAATCTGACTCCAGCGAAATCCAAGGAAGGAGGTGTGTGGCCACAGGGCCCAGAGAGCTGAGGGAGGGAGGATGTCCCACCGCAGCAGCAGCAGCCCTGACACCAAGGCACGAAGAGCCCGGGCCTCCACTCCGCCACTCCCACTCCCACCTCCACCCTTACAGCAGCAGCCCACAGAGCCCCAAGCGGGCCCCCGTGTTCTCCCTGGCTCCCCCCAATGTGCTTGCTGGGTCACAGTCGGAACTCTTTACAAGCTGCAGATCAGATTGAGTCCCTCCCTATTTAAACCCTTCAATGAATCCCCATTGCTCTTGAAACCGAGACAAAAATGTCTTTCGCACACACCACAGGCTCTGTGTGCCCGCCGTTAGCCAGGCACCCTCCTGTCCTCCTGACACTGTCTCCCTGTGGCCTGCCCTGGCTCTGCCCAGAACGCCCTTCCCTCCCTCGCTGTCCTTCTGGGTGGTAAGCCCTCCTGCCGCAGTCACTATAAAATGAGCACTCCACACTCTGCTCAGTAGCACCAGTCGGGGGTGATTTTAGAGTGACTTGGGGGAGTCCTGGGCTGCTGTTCCAGCCCACACCAAGATCAGAAGCTCTGTGAAGACACAGGCTGCTGGCTTACCCTCACCAGTCTCCTTGCGCCCTAACACAGCACAGAACACACGATAGATGTTTCAACAAGGATTTCCCGAATGCAGGAATGGATGTGCATTAAACAGACAGCAAACAGCATGAAGTGAAGTGGCTTTTCCATGTTTCCCTACTCAAAAAAAAAAAAAAAGCACCAAACTTCTACTAATCACAAACATTCTTCCCAAATGAACAACACCCACTGAGGATGCCACCTACTTACCGCCACCATCCTCTCTCCAGGTCCTTCCTTTACCCTAATGCAATCAAGAAAATAATGCCCCGATGGGCCACATGCCAAGATAGAAAGCTGGGCCACACGGGCCACTCAGCAGGGAGGCGGAAGCTGTCTTCTGCCAGCTCAGGGCTTCCTCAGGCCTCGGACAGGTTCCTTTCCAGGCCAGGCACTGTCCCTGCTGCCTGGTCATAACCAGATCACATAATTCTCACCACACCCCTCATGGTGGTGTCACATGCACCATGCTAAACATGAGGAAACTGAGGCTGCCGGTTAAGGGGCAGCACTTGGAAGCCCACCCAGGGTGACTCTGTGTTTTGGCTGAAGAGTGCTGGTGTCACATGCCTGGTCTTGGAGCCCAGGTTTACGCATCCCTTCTGGACCTTGGGCAACACTTTTCTACAGTTTGACTATGGTCTGTCCCCTCCAAAGAGCACACTGACATTTAATCACCACCACAAGGCCATTAGAAGCAAGAACAGGAAGGACCCTGGAGAAGTGATCAGTGGCCTGTCCTCAGGATTAATCCATCCATGTGATTAATGGATTAATAGGTCAGTGGATTATATTAAGCGTGGGTCTCTTCTAAGAGTCAGCTGGGCCAGGTCTCCTGTGGTGGGATTCCCTGTGTCACATCAGGACTCTGCCAGCACAAAGGCCATCACCAGATGTGGCCCCTTGACCCTGCACCAGAATAAGGAGCCAAAATAAACCTCTTTTTGTAATTACTTCCCCAATCTGTGGCACTGTTATTGGCAACAGAAAACAGGCTAAGGCATGCAAAGTCACCTCACAACCTCAATTCCTTACCTGGAAAGGGGAGCTAACAATGGCCTGTACCAGGAAAGGTGTCTGGTAGATGGAGGCTGAAGGCAGGAGGGCCCGAGGTTGCAGCCAGGGGTGCAAGAGCAGAGGGTCAGTGGAGAAGGAGCCAGAGCCTTGGCCAGGGGTCAAGGGACCCTGAAGTCAGAGGCTCCGCCCCCAGCCTGCCAACTTGGGCCCTCTGGGTACAAGACCGAATTGTCCTCTGCACATGCCCTGGGAAAGCTCTAGGCCCTCACCTGTAAGGCTGTGGCTCACTCCTCCGGCCCCTTCAGGGCCCCAGGCTGCCCCTCGGCTCAGGACAGCCAGGGCAGCCTCCCCCTCACTTGCTCACCAATGTCCCCTCCTCTTCCTGCTTCCTCTGGGGCACTCACCCGAGCTACTCCAGGACAGCCCAGACAGCAACCTGAAGCTGTGTTCAGACATGTCCTTCATGAAGGGTCACCTCCCTGCTCCGCCTCAGGAGAGGGCACACCCAGTTCCGGTCCCTCACTGCCACATTCCCAGGTACCTGGCCTGTGGGATGTGTCACTGGAGTGCTGAGCAACCCTTCCCACTGGCCCTGGCTGCTGCCGCCCCTCCCACACACACTCCCATCTCCCCAGCAGAGTCTTCCCTAACTCAGCAGGTAATGTCCCACTCCTGGGTCACAGTGCTCCAACTCCCAGTGCACACAGGCCAGGCACCAGCCCAGTGCCTGACTGCCCTCCGCTGAATGAGGAGCAGAGAAATCCTAGAGCCAGTAATCAGGGGTCCGATGCCAGAGCAGATTTGCTGCTGCACCCTCACTGCCTCGTGCCCGGCCTCCTGGGAACCCATCTTACTTCCTCAGCTGGGCAGCAGCAGGAGCTCCTAGCTCTCTCTACTAACAGAGCCAGCCTTCTACCAGCCCCTGGCTCATATCAACCTTGATTTACAGACAGAGACATAAGGGGTTTGCCTGCAATGCACAAGGCCCTGGTTTCAATCCCCAGCCCTGAAAAAAAAAAAAAAAGAACAACATGTTTTAGAATTAAATTTAAGACTGGGCATGGTGGCATGCACCTATAATCCCGGCGCTTGGGAGGCTGAACGCAGAAGGATCACTACAAGTCTGATCTAGTAGTGAGACCCTGTAGACCCTGTACTAAATACATGAAAAAAATTATAATAAATTTAAAGTCACCCTGCTGGTAAGTGGCTTGAGGAAAGACACGAGCCCTGGTGTGTCTACCTCAAGGGCCCTGCTCATTTTCTTTTTAATTTTATTTTAAAGAGGAAAAATAACAAGAAGACAAAAACAAAGCAACAAAAAATAAAAATGATACAGATTTTCAAAATAAGAATAGGAAATTAACAATGGTTGCTATTCTATGTATTGTCATCAAATTTGTCATAAGTTTGTTGCTCAGATTATCAGATATAGGTATGCAAGATTGATCAAACAAACCTTAACTTCTTTCAAAAAACCAATAGAAACTAATAGCACAATTATCTTAGCTATCTTATGTGTACCATTTTCCTTCTTTCCCCATCCCACTTATTCTTTCCTTTTTGAAAAATGATAAAGGTAACAAAACTGAATTTAATAACAGGTTATTAGGACAGTTACAGTGTTGATACATTGCATGTTGTTGTCTGCCCAGCCTGCTCCTTTCTGTTGTTATGGTAGTGCTGGTAAAATACATACAACATAAAATTTGCCAGGCGTGGAGGTGCACACCTATAATCCCAACACAGGGGAGGTTGAGGCAGGAGGATCATTGGGAGTTCAAGACCAGCCTGGGCTACAGAGCTCAAGGCCAGCCTGAACTGCACAGCAAGACCCTGTCTTGAAAAGACAGAAAAAAAAATCATAAAATTTACTAACTCAACTATTTTTAAGTTTACAACGTGTCAGATACAGTCACAGTGTTAGCCACCAAATCTCCAGGACTTCATCTGGCAAAGTGAAACTCTGTACTGTAGCATAAAGTCCCTCCAGTGCACAACCACACACACACGCACACACACACACGCATGCACACGCATGCGCGCACACACACACACGCATGCATGCACGCACATCCCTGCCTCCAGGCCCTGGCAACCACACTTCTATTCCCGGTCTCAGAGCGCTGGGTGTTTCATATGAATCACGCCCTCCTTGTCAGTGCGCAGCGGGCTCATCTCACTTACCACAGTACCCCCAAGCTCATCCATGTGGGAGCATGTGTTTGAGCCGAGTAATGCTCCTTCGTGCATCCATGTAAATGCTTTGTTATCCCTTTGCCCACTACTGGGCTGCTTTTACCTACTGGGGAAAATGCCGCTAATGCTGAGCAAATGCCCGCACGCTGGCCTTCGCCTCAGCCCTTTCCCTCTCCTCCACCCCTCTCGCAGGTCCTCTTCTAGCATGAGGTACTACCCCAGGCGCTTCACATGGAGCTACATCTCCAGCCCCCTCCTTTCTTTGAGTCAGGTTCTCCCTATGCTGCAAAGTCTCCCTGCTGGACTCACTCTTGAGACCCGCCCGCCTCTACCAGCAGGGGTTGGATGGACAGGTCACACCACCTCCGGGCTCACCCGCAGCCACCCTAATGAACGTGCTGCCACCAGGCCCAGTTCTTAACCCCCACCCTGTGGCGCAGCTGCTCTGAGGGACAAATTATGCCCAGTCCCTTCACTTCCGAGGCCACACCTTGCTTTCACCAATCCCCCTTCTAGCTTTGGGTCCTGCCCTAAACCGATCACCCTGCAGCCGCCACCCCCAGCTCCAGACCTCCCTGCCTAGAGCCTGCCACCCCTCTCACATGGTGCCCACCCAGGGCCTGAAGGGCCACCAGCCGTTGGCTCCCTGGCACTGACCTCCACCCACAGCCCCAGCTCCCTGCTGCCCCAGCTCTGCCCCAGTGCTGCACCTCCCCCTTGTGCCAGCCAGCCTCAGTCACAGCCACTTTGCCTGCTGTCCTGATGCTAAGTACCGATGGGGGTTCTGGAGGTGCCAAGCGAACGTCTAGCAAGCAAGTGAAGGAATGAAAGAAGGCAGGCCTTATTGAGGTGTGGAAAGCAGCAAATATTTATTTATTTAGGCCTGGGGATCGAACTCAGGACCTTGCACTTGCCAGGTAGATGCTTG